GACATAATAATAAGGGAAAACATACCTAAATAAATTAATGGCGATTGTTTATCTGCCTGCGTACGTGTGTGTGTGCGTGTGTGTGTGTGCGTGTGTGTGTGTGTGTGTGTGAGTGTGAGTGTGTGTGTGTGTGTGTGTGTGTGTGTGTGTGTGTGTGTGTGTGTGTGTGTGTGTGTGTGTGTGTGTGTGTGTAAATGAGAAGTATATGCCTAACTAAGTATTAGTGGCTGGATGGTTTAAAATGGGCGTGGGAAGACAGTGAAACATGGATAGACAAACAGGCAGGCAGATCAAAAGACATACATCCAAAACAACCACACATACCCACAAGAGAAGCAATAGGGAGAGAAAGAGAGAGAGAGGGGGGGGGAAGAAGACGAAAGCAAATACAAGACACGAAGAGAGAGAGAGAGAGGAAAAAATAAGCTTCCCGCCCACACATTTCTCCTTCAACCCTTCCACCCCCCCACTCCCCATCTCCCTCGCCCCCCTTACCCCTCACCCCGAAGATGAAAATAACCTCTTTGAGATATTCCCGATGTATGTATAATACCCTGGGCACGTGCTGCATTCCTCTTGACGGATAAGAGTAATAACAAAAATCCGCGCACAAACATCACCGTATCCTTAACTTATCCTCTTTTCCTCTTACTAACATGACACATGACATGACACTCTTGCGTTAAAAATCGATATTTGTCCTGATTACTTTTTGACACTTTTAACCTTTTCAGGATTTTTTTGACACCACCGCACTCTTCACCCTTTGCCTCCTAGCGTCTAACCCACTTGGCAATCGCTATTTTTCAGAGAAGGTCACTTTAGACACTTAGAGCATTGTCCTATCGACTCTTAAGATACATTTTAACATCTCATGACGTTATTCATTATCTAATTTTTGACACCCCCCTCTCCTCTCGCTCCCCCCCCCTCCACCTCAAACTTAATATTATTTCTCGCCCATTAAGATCTCCTTCATCATCTATAGCACTGTCTGACGACTCTTTGACACTTTTAGCCTCACATGTCACCCTAATCCGTCCTTGACACCTCGCTTCTTTCCAAACTTATTTGACACTTTTTTGCTAGATTCAGCCAGCAGTCATGGCACAGCAACCTGGCACATCCTCTCGACTATATTGTCCTAACCTTCGCATGACACTTCATGATCCATTTGCACCCATACTAACAGACCTAACCTTCGCATGACATTTCCAGGCCCATTTGACACAGTCCAGACCTCAAACCAGTAGACCAAACCTTCACCCGACACACCCAGGCCCATTTGGCACAGTCCAGACCCACCCTAACAGACCTAACTATCGCAAGACACGTCCAGACCCATCTGACACTGCTCAGGCCCCAAATCTAGCAGACCTAACCTACGTATGCCACTTGACACTGTACAGACCCCGAACTAACAGACCCAACCTATGTATGACACTTCCAGATCTATTTGACAATGCCTAGACCCCATATGTAGCAGACCTGACCTTCACATGACACTTCCTGACTCACTTGACACAATGCAGCCCCTTACTAACGGAACTACCTCACCTGAGACTCATTAAGAAATCAAGGGAAAACGACAAATACAAGGAAAATGGGACACACAAAACAGAACAAAACGGTACACGCAAGGAAAATGGGATACACAAAACAAGAGCAAACCGACATACGTAAAGGAGACTAAGAAACACACACACACACACACACACACACACACACACACACACACACACACACACACACACACACACACACACACACACACATACACACACACACACACACACACACACATATATATATATATATATATATATATATATATATATATATATATATATATATTTATTTATTTATTTATATACATATACATAGATAGATAGATAGATAGATAAAGAAGCGATTAAAATAGTCACATTAGCATGAACAGAATAACCCATTCCACCAGCACAATGGGACAGCTCAAAAAAACTACATAGGACAGCGGACAAATGTGTGTTTGTGTGTGTGTATATATATAAACACAAGCCACTCGGAACATATGGCCGAGCTTCCTACACTGAAGTACACATGTGAAGAGCCGCTTATAAGAGACACTACGTCACGTACATAAAAGGATACCGGTATGTATATAATTGTGTCTGTAGGCATAAACAAAAAGTCATTTCGACTATATTAACTAGCAGTTCCTAATTTTAAGTTTTAACGGAAGACAGACAGACATGTGAGCTCTCTAATAAATATCAATTAGAAAATAAACCTGGCTTGGCGACACTGTGTATCCCATTTCCGAGAACGAGAATTTCCATGTAGGCCTACCTTCACTTATTTCCTAATTTACTTACTAAAATCCATCAAATTTCACACACCGTAACCCCATCGTTGACCTATTACTTGCCTAATTAAAAACGGTGATTGAACGGTCTTCTATTTTTTAAAAAAATCCTATCCATTCGTAATTCTCTACAGTAACGAACAAATGCGCTACGGGCATTAACGGAGGAAGTGGGGGGGACAGAGGGGTGAGCGCCCCCCCCCAAATTGCTAAAATAATTCTGCTTTACATTTGGTTTTACACACACTAATCAAAATATACTATAATTATACAATATCTCATTTTACCAGAATGGGTATCACTCTTACAGTAGACATGTTGGTTTCCATGAACTTGATTTATTAAAAGTACTGTATAGGTATAGTGGAGTATAGTATAGTAAAGGACAGACTTTCCTGGGCTCATGAACGCCTAACTAGCGGAGTTCGAATGGACATGTAATCTATTTTTTAAGCAAATCGCCCCCTCGACCCCACCACAACAAAACACAGTTAACACACATAAATTGTGGAAGCCATATGGATATATTACTTCTGGGTATTAATTATTTAACGCAGAACTGAATACACTGATGTGCTAAGTATATAATTATGTGAGAACTGTGCCATGCGCATGTTGTTGTGTGAAAGGCGCTTTTTGTCTAAAAAAAAACCCATCAAACTATGCATTTTCACACTCGCCTATGCCTACGGGGGTTAGCTAAACTGTCTTTATCAATGAAGAATCAAAGTCATATAGGTGACAGCATAAATCGGACAGCTATAAGCAACGATGATTGTTGAACACTCGGCTATAGATACGAACAGCCAACGATACTGACGAACAATAGCTAATATGTGTAACAAAAGGGTTAGGCGCACTAATGAACACACTTAAACAGCCTCCGGTGAAGTTGAACATGGATGAACAGATAAACAACAGGTGGCATAAATAAACACCCGACTACACACACACATATACCTGGGCGTCGACCTATATAGATGAGCGAAAGAGATAAACCTAAGAAATAAGAAAAAGAACGAAAGGGGAGGGGGACGTGATAGGCACCTGTTGCTCCATTTATTAATATTTCCTTTCCTTTCCTCCCTCCCTTCTTCTTCTTCTTCTTCTTCTTCTTCTTCTTCTTCTTCTTCTTCTTCTTCTTCTTCTTCTTCTTCTCTCTTCTTCTTCTCTCTTCTTCTTCTTCTTCCTCCTTCTCTTCTCCTCCTTCTTCTTCTCCTCCTCCTTCTTCTCATCCTCTTCCTTCTTCTTCTTCTTCTTCTTCTTCTTCTTCTTCTTCTTCTTCTTCTTCTTCTTCTTCTTCTTCTTCTTCTTCTTCTCCTTCTCCTTCTCCTTCTCCTTCTTCTCCTTCTTCTTCTTCTTCTTCTTCTTCTTCTTCTCCTTCTTCTCCTTCTTCTCCTTCTCCTTCTCCTCCTCTTCATCCTCCTTCTCATCTTCCTTCTCATCCTCCTTCTCATCCTCCTTCTCATCCTCCTTCCCATCCTCCTTCTCATCCTCCTCCTCATCCTCCTTCTCATCCTCCTTCTCATCCTCCTTCTCATCCTCCTTCTCATCCTCCTCCTCATCCTCCTTCTCATCCTCCTTCTCATCCTCATCCTCATCCTTCTTCTTCTTTCTTTCTTTCTTTTCTTTTCTTTCTTTCTTTCTCTTTCTCTTTATCTTTATCTTTCTGCTTCTCCTTCGCCTTCTCCTTCTCCTTCTTTCTTTCTTTCTTTTTTTCTTTCTCTTTCTCTTTCTTTCTCTTTTTCTTCTTCTTCCTCCTTCTTCTTCTTCTTCTTCTTCTTTTTCTTCTTCTTCTTCTTCTTCTTCCTACTCCTCCTCCTCCTCCTCCTCCTCCTTTCCCTTCCTCTTTTTCATTCATATCTTCTCTCTTCTTCATGTCTCTTCTTCCTTCCTGTTCTTATTTCATCCTCTTTCCTTTCTCCCTCTCCATTCCTCTCCCCATTTCTTACTGAAGAACGGCTAGTTATGGACACAGTAATGATAATAAAGGCAAACTGCTGGTCCTGTTATTAGAGTAAAGACATTTATATTCTTTTTTCTTTGGGTAGATTGTCGTTAACTGCATGTAGGACTGAAAAAAATATGTGTGGACGATATCAATACGTAGTAACGGCATTCTATTAAAGTTGTCATGTCACTTGTCACGTTGTTTTGGTGTGTTTTAGTCATGAAAAACGCGAAATTACGGGAGTCAGTTAGGCCTCATTACTGTCTAATTTCCACATGTGTAACACTACAGGAGTTATTTCATATCACAGTATATCATAATGCCTCACTGTTATAAAATCTATTCTGCTTCATTCGAGTGTGCCTGCGTGTCACCATGGCACATTGCACGTGATAAAACTATATATAACACCGCAGATACAATACGTGACGTAGAATTGCTGTTATTGTGTCACGCTGCTACTATTTTTGGGTCACGGCACTGTAGTTTCACCTCCTTTTACACTATTCTCCAAACATCATCGCCAGAAAAAATCGCACCATAACATAACAATCTCCCTCACCTCGTCACACCATCGCGGTGGTGGTGATGGCAGCACCACAATACCACCGCAAAACCGCACCGCTAAACGCACACCCGCACCGCACCGCGCACACACACTGCCCGCCGCTGTACTGACACCTTCGAACTACCCAGCTACCCGAA